TAGAATTCCACTATGCAGTTGCCTATATACTCCAATGCAAAATTTGCCTATATACGAGTTGATTAAGAGCACTGCAGAGTTTGACCAGTTGATTCAGAGCACACAAAATTATTTTCTTCTATGGTCATAATTAATTTACTCTTTAATTGTTTACATTATTTCTGAAAATCATACCTGAAGCTGATTTGGAAGATACGCTATTGTTCGACTCCCAACCAGCTCAAATGATTGCGGACCCAATTGCATGCAATCTATGCCTTTATATCATATTAGTTAAACAGTTTAACATTTACGTGCCGTGCGGCACATCCTTATGAAGTCAACTCCTAGTCCAACTCTATGCAGTCGCAGACTCCTATTCCTATCAACATGTTAAAACTAGTCCTATAAGGTGCGTTTTCTTTCATTTTAAGCGATCATCTTTAGCAAATACGGTAAACAAAGCTAAACACGAATGCTTGAAATAAATAATGACTGCTGTTAGTGAGTAATGAATGGCAATAAAGAGTCTCTCACTTTCTCCACTCTCCTAAATCCTTACTCAAAGTAAACTAACAGCTCATCGGCAAGAACTTAATATGGCTTATACTATTTACTCTTGACATAATGATTGCAAATTAAATATAAAAAAAACATTTATTGCACCTATTTGTTTTGTCAGCTTTCAAAATGAGGATAAACTTATAAAAGAAGAGGCAATGCACACCAACGACATCAACATGACACTTGACTCAGTTGACGGACTAGACTACTGGTAGCGTACTTGGAAAATTTAGCATTCAAACCTTTAGATTCTGTGAACCTCGTAATTTATACATTATTAGAACTTTAGATGGCTCACAATATATCACGTAAAGTTTTCTCTCAATAATAGTCTCGAAGTGTATGAATAAAACCTAATGAGTATAAAACTGAAGTGTCCACTGGTCAGCGTGGGCGGGAGCTTCATCTGCATCGTAGTTACCACATCCACTTATTCCGGTTGCGTAATGAGAACTAAGTCAACTAACCAGGCTGAGCCAAAAGCTTTCCCACCAGCTTCGTTGCACACGATTGATACTACATGCAATGCATGTATAATATTTATGACTATTATTAAACCATTCTGTTGAATGTCAGTTACTAAAAATTTACAATATAGAAGAATTCAAATATTTCATTTCTTCGCAGAGTATATTGATATCATATTGTTGGTATCTCAGTCACGTGTCACCTTCTTTGTTATTGTTTCGGTACAGATGGTATTCCTGAATGCTGATCGCGAGTAGTTTTCATGTCTCAGCTGATTTCATAAGTGATCAGTTTTTTATATGTCGATGAAATCATAGGCAGTTTTTCATGTATTTGTGAGTGAATGTACAAAGTGAAGATGTTATTCTTTGCGATTTTCATCAATAGTGACATAACTACATTAGTGTATTAGGCACTTGAAATAAGAAGTGTAGCATTACACATTAAATTAGCATTAGTGCATTAACAATGTGTGCATTTGGGGCAGTCCATTCTAGCTTTCTAACGCTGATTGGATTCGAGTGGCTGTGACGTTGCATGCATTCTGATGGTAATTGGATTCTTGTGACTGGCGTTGCACACATTCTAGCGATGATTGGATTCATGTGACAGTGACTGTGACATTGAACGCGTTCAAGCGTTGATTGGATCCTTGTTACTGTGATGATGTAAGCTCTGTTTTTTCCCAATGAAACAGCTGTGGCAGCTTGCAGAGACTTGTCAGTGATGATGATGGACTCAAAGTGGAGGTGTGCTGGCCATTCTAGATTTTTAGGTCATGCTTTCCATTTTGCTATGTTCACCAGTTAATATATTACCCCTCTGGAATTCCACACGTGAAGTTAAAGAGAAGTGTTGTAGAAATAGAAGCTTTTTTAGAATTACTCTTTAAAGACAACACTATCTAAAGAATCCAGTGTCTGCAATGTTAAAGATGTATAATGAATTTCTCATTCTATTTTCGAATATTAAAAAAATTAATTTTTCAATTTTTTTAATTTATATTTTTTTTCAAAATTATTTATTCTGTCAATTGATTCATGGATTGCCTCTCGACTTCACACAAGTGTGCAAAATTTCAGATCAATTGGACAGGTGTTATATCAGTTACGGTATAAGATTTGTAGCTGACAAAATTATTTTTTACATTTTTTAATGTTGATAGATTTTTTTAAATAATTTATTTTGTCATTTGATTCTTGCAGTCTCTAACTTTATGCATGTGTGCAAAATTTCAGATTGATAGGATAAGTAGAAGTGTGTTAAATTTTGATTATAAGATTTGTAGCAGACAGACAGATGAACAAACAAACAAGAAGTGAAGTAAAAGAGATGTGTGGTAAAATAGAAGCTTATTGTGACTGGTTTGCTCACCATCCCAAGCACCCAGGGTGCAGAAGGTGGAAGCAGCATTGCCAATATATGGGTTTTTAAGCCCAAAGCGTCGCCAACCATTTTCAAGATGCATCTCCGTGTAATTTTTAATGAAAAGCCATTTACACTGAGTAATGAAAAACTATTTACAAGCCACAAACTTATTCACAAGATTGCATGCACGTGATATCCCAAATAACTAATTTTACCATAAAAACAGTCCGATTGTACAGCAAGTGTCAACTGAATATGTGATGATGCAGTCTGACTGCTCTAATGTGACCGCAACTACATTTTGCTTACATTTTTTGGCAGGAACTCATTGCAACCAATTTCCAGACAAGCTTTACTGCATCCTGATCCATCCAACGTACCGGAAACTTTTAGTTTTTTTCTAAATAGTTGTTTGAAGACTGACAAATATATTAAATGCAAGAATTTCAATCTAAATGTGTCAGCAAGATCTTCTGAAAGTGTAAATTTTGCTACTGAAGCGTTGCCAAAGATCTTGCAATATTCATCCACTCTCTGCACAGTGGCCAAGCATGAAGGTATGGCAATATGTACATTGTGCTCGAAAGACTTCAATGTGTCAAATATTGGGGAAGCAGCTCTGAAAAGCCATGCCAAAGGCAGCAAACACACCAAGTTAGCTAAGCACCACAGTGAAGTGAAAGCGAAGCACAGTTACATATTTCCAATTTGTGGTCTGCTGACAGCAATGCAACTGCAGTTTCTTGCTCCAAAATCAGCACTGTAGTGTCTACTGCCACTGTGAATGTAGAGATTGAGAGCTGGCCACTATCCACTGTCAAAGCCAACCCCAATGGCAAACTGACCAGCTTTGTAACAAAAGATGTAAAGCTTTGTAACAAAAGAAGACCCAGAAGAGGAATGCTCTGTTGGATGAGCTAGATGAACTGAAGAAGAAGAAGAAGAAAATGTGCACAGAGGAAGGCATCAACAGCTGATGAATATGCAGAAGCAATGGAGAGAAAGGGGGATTTGAAAATCATTGCAAAGTTCAACGCCATGAGGCGATTTTTGAAAACAAAGCAACAGGAGCTAGACACTCTTGAACTGAGCATTAAAGAAAAAGTTGATGAAATAGCTGCCAGTTGAATGTTAGGGTAGTGGTGTTGAATCGTGTTCTGAACTGTATTGACATTATCATGTGCAATATTGTGTGCATTACTCAATATTTGTTATGATTTTACACTATTGAATTCATAACAATAAAAGTGTGGGCTTGATTTCCAGATTTGTGTCATTTTTGATCCTCTGTGTCTGCCCACTCTATGCTCTTACATGTTTGCTAGTTATAAACTTTAGGAGATGATAGAATATGCACGGTTACTCTTTCAGTCATGCTAAACCTGTTGTATACAAGTCCTAGAAAATTATACTGATGATCATGGAGAGTCCTGGAAAAGTCCAGGATTTTTTTCCTCAATATCGGTACACACCCTGTTTCTGATGGTTTTATTTTTTTTTTATTTTAAATAATGATACAAATTCTATTCATACCTCTCATTTAATGATCCCACTGATAGGTATACTAGCTAAATATTTCAAATTCAACTATTTTGTCTGTTTGAAAACTCACTCCACTGACTACATAAGTGTATTTTTCACAAGTGTATTCATATGGAACACTTCTAAAATAATAGGGACATTTTTCATTTATATTTGAAATTGGGATTCATAAATTACCTACCAAATCCATTTATTGTCATTTAATTTGGTAGGTATCCATGGACAAAACTTCTATCTTTATTCCTATGGTATTCCCACAAAGCAGTCAATCCAAACTGAGCATTTAGGACCTGCAAATTTGTCATACTATTCTTCTACCATTGATTGATAATTATAGCCTCAACAAACTTTACGCATCAAAATTTAATTGAATAACCACACTTCATTTTTACTTGTTTATGTGCTGTTTGCATGAATTGTCAAACCTTTTTCATGAGGTTTCTAATATTCATAACTGATTTTTAATTTTTGCATTGTTTTTCTGAAAATTATCAATCTTATTTTTCTATCAAGTCGTGAATTTTAAATACGGTACCGGTACTTGTATATGAATTTTTGGGATTTAAATTCTGAGAGTATCACCACGAGATAACTTTAATAACACCACATTACACATGCTTAAGTTCTCAAAATCCTGCCTCTCATTTATAAAAGTAATTCATGCATATACACAATGAACATTTCCTAAAAGACGTGACTCGTTCGAGAACTCACAATGGAAGATAAAATTATTCCTGGGCCATTTTGTTTTCAGTGTTTTCTGAAGTGAAGTTTGTAAGACAATAGCAACAAAAAAATGCAAAAAATGTATATAAGACTAGTAAAAAGCGATAGTTAAACTTTAAAGCAATTTTTCAGCATTTAAGCTCCAACAAAATAGCTCAGACGAAATAAACTCTATTCCTTTTGACTAAATTGCTGAATGTTTCTATAATGCCTCCAAAATTTGTTTCACTCCTATTCTTGAAATAAAACTCAAGATAAATTTTTAGTGTGAATTATGATGATTTCAATATATTTGCTTGTTATCCTTGCAATCATTATTTTTAACAGCTCATAATCTTTTTCCACCAACAGTTTCTGAGCCAAATTCCAAATTCTGAGCCTAGAAATTAATTATTCAAAAAATTTACCCAATGGAATGTGCAAATTCCTTTAATTCTTGTTCAAACACAGCCTCTTCTTCACATGATGATAACATTGAAGTTAATAGAAAGCTGTCAAAATCACTTCAAAATGAAGTTAATCTACAGGAATGTGATGTACAATCTTACTCCAATACTGATGAGCCCGGAAACCACCTTCCCGCTCACTTCATTTGTAAAGTACAAATATCTTGCAGAGATTCCCAGCTAGCAAATGTTGCTGCAGCTGAAAGTGAAAATTCTGGAGCAGTTAAGAAATCTCGTGGATCTTATGTTTGCTCAGCTCCTGGATGTGACAAAAAGTTCAGCCGTCATAGTCGCCTTGAACAACACTTGAGGATTCACACTGGAGCTGTAAGTAATGAATTTATTTGCGTGAGCATTTCATATTTATTAAATTACATTCTTGAATCTGTAAGCATTAATGTCATGACTTTGTACAATAGTGTCCTAATATCCAATCATTTTGTGCCATGTTTATTTACCTAACAGCTAAAACTGGAATTGTTTGGAATAAGTGATTTCTGAGATTTGAGAATCTTATATTAAAAGACAGATCTCTCTGAAGACAATCCTTTAGACACATTCCCTCAGAGCCTGTTTCTCCACCCCAGTTACTGTGAGCACATTTATCAAACTTCTATTTTACTAAGACCCATTAATATTTTAAAGCTGAAAGGATATCAATTGAAGGAAGTCTCATTTTCAACTTTTAGCAGCAATATAACTGCTGTTTTGATAATCCATGAAAGTTTTAAATGTTTCTTAGGTAAAAATATGTCTTTCTCCCTAAGAATTATATTTCTATAATCCTCTTTATGTTCCTTCATTAACACGTTTTTCTTAGCTTAGCTTCGCGTTTGTTTGTTTGTTTGTTTGTTTGTTTGTTTGTTTGTTTGTTTGTTTGTTATTAACACGTTTTTCTTAGCTTAGCTTCGCGTTTGTTTGTTTGTTTGTTTGTTTGTTTGTTTGTTTGTTGTTAAAATTGACAACGAAAATTAGCCCACTTCTGATTGTTCTAGAGATCTGAAATTCGGCATGTAGGCTATTTTCGCCTAACAATTTCAGATACAATCATATAAACTAGCATTTAGAGACCTAAATTAGCTTAATTGAGTAAAGTATGTATAAATAGTATATATATAGTATGACGAGCAGGCGCTTACGCTGCGTATCATCGATACGCACGTCAAGGCAAGTAAATTGGCTCGCAACAACGTTTTTCATGTGTAGCAACGGACTAAAAAGGAGAAAATAAAATACTTAAAAACGTGTGTTGTGTGATTTTCGCTTCAATCATAAATCTGCCCGAAACACGTTTTTTTGGGGCAAGCCATAATTAATTTTTTTCTTTTTAGTCCACAAGAAAAGCGTGGTTTTTTAAGAAGTTTTTTTTAAGTATTTTATTTTATAATTCTATTTTACAATTCCTTTATCAAAAATATCACATTAACTACAAATATCCAGGTTTAATAGATGTTTCAGATTTATTTGAACAGTTTTTATATATCTACAGTTCTAGTTTTTAACTTCAGAAAACCAGTGTGCTCTTTCAGTTGACCATTGTGCTGATTGCCAACAGCTGTTCAAGAATGAACTTTTTAACTTTGTAGAATAATTCAGTCTTTTTGACATGAATAAAATTTGGTTTGAAAGACAAAATGCTTCAGTAATTTTTCTTAATTGGTTAAAGCTCAGAAAAAGTTTTTCTCTATTAATTTCCATTTTTGGTAAGTATTACATAATATATAGGCTTTAAAATTCTCTAGATGGCTAATCACTGATATACTCTTTTACAGATAATCTGCATAGTTATATTGCTTTAGTTTTACCATCTCTTTCACAGCGCCCCTATGTTTGTGATGCCCCTGACTGTGGTCGCAGCTACACTAGATCACAGCATCTCAAGCGCCACAAAGATGCATCTCATCCAAGCCTTTCAGAACAGAAGCAACTGCCACAGGCCAAACCCAGGTATGTGTTGCTAAACATAAATACAGTAGATGTACCTCATCATTTTCTAATATATGATCTTTTATGTATGGGAAAAATTAATGTAATCAGGTTGAGCTGCAGCTATACTAATTTGAAATTCATTTAAAAGCTTGTTGGTACCTATTAGTTGAAATTGATCCATTTACAACTAAGACTACATTTCACTTGCATTTTAATGTTTTTGTCAACTGGTGTTTACTTCATATAATTAAAAAAAATTAAAAATTCAACTTTGATTGAATGAGGTTGGTATTTCTCATTGACATGAAAATTAGCTGAGGGAATATTGATGCAATTAAATATGCCTTTCATGGAAGGTTTCCTTCTTTTTTTTCTGTTGTTCCTAATCAAATATTTTATTGCAAATCTGGCCCTTCCCTTCGATCTATACTAGAATAAGAATGCATGCTACAGTTATACACACTTGATGTATTTCTGTTTTCAACTGTGTAAAGAGTTGCAGGTTGTTGAACTATTGCGTAAGCATATTATAATCATCTATTTTAATTTGTGCTTTTCATATAGTTTTAAATGTTTCTTGGTAAAAACATGTCTTTCTCCCTAGAAATAAGGAGAAATTAATAATAAAAAAAATTTAATTCTAAACTATCCTTTATTTGGATTTTGGAAAAATATTCTTCTAAAATATAATTTAATCATTCATATGTGCCAATTATACTTAACTTATTCATATTATTTGAATTATTTAGAAAAAAATTTTTGTTAGCGCGTATCCTAATGCTTGCTTCTGCCCTCAGATGTTCAGAGTGCGAGAAGGATTTTGCCAACGTGTACAGCCTGCGCAAGCACACAGTGCAGTACCATGGTCGCCGCAAGCACGAGTGTGCCTCTTGTGGTCAGCTCTTCTTGAAGCACCAACATCTGCTGACTCATCTCCAGACTCACACTAATGCACCTGCATTCAAGTAAGTCACTACTGCATTACGCTCTAATATTGTGGATTATTTGTGATACCAATTGCATCTATGTTTTAAGAACATATTAGAATACTAATACAGGAACTAATTTTCAGTTATGGTTTTAGAAATATAATGCTTTGGAATTGTTTATAGATTCAAACGAGCCAATTTTGCTGTTAGTACAAGTGGTATATCTTTTCAAAAGGAATTTTCAAATTCTGTATCTCTAATCTTGATTCTCAAAGCCTGATCTATACATTTTGTTACCCATTGTTGTTACCCCTGTTGATATTTACCAGGTTAAAAAACAGTTAGTTCTAGTGTTCCCTTCACACAGGTGTGAGTTCCCTGGTTGCAAGATGGCATTTAACGTGCCCAGTAAACTGAAGCGTCACGCTCAGGTGCATGAAACTGGCAGGTACCGGTGCTCACGCAGCGATGAGTGTGACAGGACGTTCGACAGACACGTAGACCTACGGCGTCACCTGGCAAACGATCACTCATACGAGTGCGCCGTGTGCGGCATGAGTTTCCAACAGCTGACAAGGTCAGCTAACAGACCAAAATCACAGCGATGAAAATCTCTATATATTCTCATTAATGTTTAAACTATCAGGTTCCATATAATTGCTTTCTCAATAACATGGAATTTTTGTCTGATATGCGTGGAGTTTTGGCTGACTAATATCTGGTTCTAGAATTTTATAGAAGTAATGCTTACGGTTTACTTTAGAATAAATTTCTATTATTTTAATGTTCAAGCATACAAACCCCAACGAATATTGTGTCTTTAAGATCCCTCGTAGCTTGGGATCGGGATCATCACGGCAATTTCGTGCCCAGAATTTCATAATATTCATGTTTAGGCGTTGATTTTAGTTGAAAAAATGTCCTGGATAAAACAGAAACCTCATGAACCTTTGACATAATAGTCAAATAGTCATTAACTAATAATATGTAAGAAAATTCGATTTCAGGCGACACACTGAGACTCTTGAAGACTTAAGCTGAGGTGCAGGAATAATGATCGCAAGAAACACTAAGATAACAGCAACAACAAAAAAATTCTGATATATTAAAAGTCAATCGTATGATCGTGTTGCTTGATTACATGTACTTCTTCGTTGCAGGTACAACAAACACCGCGCGACGCACGAAGATCTGCGACTGAGTTTCCAGTGCAAGAGCGATGGCTGCGGCCGCTGCTACTACTCCCTGCGGGCGCTCGTGTCCCACGTACGCGATAAACACGACAACGAAGGACGTCTTCACCCCTGCCTCGTCTGCGGCAAGAAATTATCAACCAATGTGAGAAAACTGATGTTATTGCCTTGCGGTTGTAAGGACTTAGCTTAGCTGTTGACGTGACTTAGTGGCTCTAAAATTCCTTATGGTTATTGCAAAGGTGTACAATATAACATTTACTGACAAGAAAAGTAAACAACTCGCTATGCATTTATCAGGTATTAAACCTCGGCAATATTTGTCGAAAAGGCATTTTCCAAATTTGTTGTCGAATATGAATAATAATAATAATCTTATAATGATATTGGTATGGCTTGTGTACCCACAATTCGTAATATTTATGTGTTGAAGTATTGAATACTTTTATGTTTTACAGCAAAAACTTATACAGCATCAGAAGACCCACAGTACAGACCAAAACCGACGCTGCACAAGTTCATTGCGCGTCCGGAAACAACGTCGGGATAAAGGAAAAGGACGCACAGACTACCGCCGTTTGTTATCAGGGTTTGTCTCGCCGGGTTCAGAGAGCCGCGATGTTCATGGGAATTTGATTAAATCTGACGACCTACAGAATGAGTTCGATGTCGTCATAGGCACTCGACGCGGGCTGGAGGGGAGGATTTCATTTCCTGATGATGATGAAATACCTGCGCCCGTGGCTGACATCAATCCGGCTACAAACAGACAAAGCTCTGGAGCTAAAAATAACGATATGATTATTTCTTCCGTAAATTCTGATCAAATTGGCAACAAAGTGTCAAGAAATCAAATTAATGAGTCTGGAGTACTGAAGCATATTTGCTGTAATACTGAAAAGAAAAAGCAGGGACTAGTATTTCGTCAGTCCGTGAAGAAATTGCGAAAGAAAATGTTGAAACTGAGCTTATCTGTCTTAAAGAGTAAATTCTAACATTTTTAAGGTCCTGGTTTATACCATTGGGTCCTTAGGCGTGAGGGATTGTTTTTTTTATGGCAGTCCTTCACTCTGTAGGTTAACCCAAACTCCAGCAATCTATTAATTTATACGAAATGATCAAAATTTTCGTCACCAAAGTTAGCAGGAATAAGAACAATTTCTTATTGACATTCACGAAGTGCGCAGCTCTTTCAGTTTAAGAAGTGAACGAGTCTCAATTTATCACCTATGATTGGTTTGCGTGGTATTTCTGAATCAGCGTCCATGTCGTAGATTTTTAGAATTTCGATAATATAATTTGATTTACTTCTCTACTGGCCTCAACTCTATTGTTGCTGGCGCTAAAAAGGAATCCCATCGTACATTGTGTCTGGGCTAGGGCTCATACCTCTGTTGTCGTTTAAGAGAAAGCTATTTTTCTCCTATTTTCTTCTGTAGAAAAAATGCATGCAGCAATCTGAACAAGAGTTACAATTCATTATACACCGTCTGATAAATTAAACGCTTCTGTGTTGAAGTTTATGTGTAATGAATGCATTAAGTAAAATGGAAACGCACGAAGATTCTTTTCTCGTACATTTTTTCCTTGTTGCATAACGTGTTTGGATGAAATGTAATGCGTGACGCACCTTACGATACTCTGTACATAAACTCAACATAGCGACAAACCACAGATTTTTAAAATCCGTTCATTACAACACTTCTCTTTAACTTTACTTCTTGTTGTTGGTTTGTCTGTCTGCTACGAATCTTACTATCGATATTTAACGCACTTCTACCCCTCCAATTGATCTGAAATTTTACACACTTGCGCAAAGTTGGAGACAATGCATGTATAAGTTGACAGAATAAATAATTTTAGAAATTTGAAAACATATTTTTTCTTTCTATTGAAAAAATAATTTTGTCTGCTACAAATCTTATAATCGATATTAAACACACGTCTATCTATCTAATCAATCTGAAATTTTGCACACTTGCGTAACGTTGGGCACAATGCACGAATCAATTGACAGAATAAATAAATTTGAAATTTTACAGATTTTGATTTTTGAAAAAAACTAAAAAATAATTTTTTTATATATGGAAATAAAATTAGAAATTCATTGTACATGTGTAATATCGGAGACACTGGATATTTAGGAAGTGTTGCCTTTAAAAATTAATTTTTGAACGCATATTATTATTTCTACAACACTTCTCTTTAACTTCACTTCTTGTTTGTTTGTCTGTCTGCTGCAAATCTAATAATCGATATTTAACATAATTTTACCTTTTCAATAGATCTGTAATTTAGCACACTTGTGTAAAGTTGGAGACAATGCATGAATCAATTGACAGAATAAATAATTTTGAAAATTCGCAAAAAATTATTTTTTATATTAAAAATATATGTTTGAAAATTACTTCTTAAAGACAACACTTCTGAAGAATCCAGTGTCTCCAATGTTACACATGAACAATGAATTTCTAATTTTATTTTCGAATATTAAAAAAATTAATTTTTCAATTTTTTAGTAAAAGAATTAAATTTTTAAAATTATTTATTCTGTCAATTGATTCATGTATTGTCTCCAACTTTACGCAAGTCTGCAAAATTTCTGATAAATTGGATCGGTAGAATTGTGTTAAATATCGATTATAAGATTTGTAGCAGACTAACAAACAAATAATAATATGCGTTGCAAAAATTACTTTTTAAAGACAACACTTCTAAAGAATCCAGTGTCTCCACTCTCCAATGTTAAAGATGTACAATTAATTTCTCTTTTTATTTTCGAATATCAAAAAAATTTATTTTTCAAATTTTTTTACATACTTTTTTTAAATTATTTATTCTGTCAATTAATTCATGCATTGCCTCTGACTTCACACAAGTGTGCAAAATTTCAGATCAATTGGACAGGTAAAAGTGTGTCAAATATCAGTTATAAGATTTGTAGCTGACAAAATTATTTTTTTCAATTTTTTTAATATTGGAAATTTTTTTTTACTTTTTAAAATCATTTACTTTGTCATTTGATTCATGCATTGTCTCAGACTCTACGCAATTCTGCAAAATTTCAGATAGATTGGACAGGTAGAAGTGTGTTAAATATCGATTATAAGATTTGTAGCAGACAAAATTATTTTTTCCAATTTTATTAAATTAAAAAAAAATTTTAAATTATTTATTTTGTCAATTGATTCATGCATTGTCTCCAACTTTACGCAAGTGTGCAAAATTTTCGATAGGAAAGTAGAAGTGTGTTAAATTTCGATTATAAGATTTGTAGCAGACAGACAGACAAGAAATGAAGTTAAAGAGAAGTGTTAAGAGAGAAGTGTTGTAAAAAAAAAATAATAATAATTTGTGTGCTACCTAACTTATAATCAATATTTAACACACTTCTACCTGTCCAATCGATCTGAAATTTTGCACATTTGCGTAAAGTCGGAGACAATGCATGTATCAATTGACAAAATGAACAATTTTGAAAAATTGAAAAAAAAATTAATTTGAAAAATAAAACTAAAAAATTAATTTTTGATATGTCATAATAAAATTATAAATTCATTGTACATGTGTAACATCGGAGACACTGGATTATTTAGAAGTGTTGTATTTATAAAGTAACTTTTAAACGCAAATTATTAATAACCTTATCAACTCTAAATTTAAACCAATTTATTAAGTATGATAAAGCTGGTATCCATGATACTTTGCTGAGAGACAAGACGCACGTGCGATTGCACCATTCATCATTGATTCATTGGTTTTCAAAGACATGTTATCGTACCTAATCATCAGAGTTTTGATTAGCCCGTGCACGCGTTCGTTCGCGATCGGAAATACCGAAACGGAAATGCACTGATCGAACCTCAAACCAGAAAAAATAATCCTATTTCAATTTGCAATTTTATCCACAAGTAACTTTTTGGTGCTTCACAGAAATTCCTTCTACAGAACAAGGAATTTCTGTTCTACGGAAGGAATGCTATAAGCTAAGGCCTTTACAGAATATTAATCAACTCGAATAACCTTAATGATATAGTATAACCAAGCTTTAAGGCATAGAGACAGAGAGTTAGAAGCTAGTGTCACCCTTGCATTATAACGGAGCTGTTCGTATCAAGGGCTCCGGCCACCCACGCCAAGCTCATTCTCACTCCATAGCTGGTCGAGATAGCAACGTCTGCTGAGAGGCGGTAAAGCTGATTTTTCTTGCATTCACTGCCGACGACGACTTATATTGTTCTAAAGAAAGTGACATATACCGACTCCTGAGCGATTACTCGCATTCCTGCTCAGCATCGAACCAGCACTTCATCCACGAACAAGAAATCCTGAGGTAAAGAACTCGTCCAGATATTTGAAAACGACATGGAAATTCTGTTCAAATTCTCGGCCGTATTAGCCTTGATGTTCATCCTACCCAATATTGCCGCCCGATCTGTTGCGCCAATCACCTTACATCTTGAAGCTTACATCAACGTGCCAGCAGAAAATATACAGCGCCATCACAACGACTACATAGAGTGCCGGATAAGCGACACAAACGTTGGAAGTCTTCACAATTATCGAGTTTACTGGTATGATTATGCAGGGAACAAAGTTACCTCCCGGCGCCCCGAAAATCAATCTATCTTCACTATCGCCCAGGAAAATCACTTGCCATACGCCTATTTGGTGTTTGTGGATTTCCAGAGCCTCCATGCCGAAGAATACACTTGCAAGTTGTTCCACATCCAGGGACAGAAACTCATCGCTGAGTCCAGAGCAATAGTACAACAAAGCAAGACATCGGATGGCTTGTTTCCACGCTTATGAACCTACTGCGACAGGCCTATCCAGGCCTATTCTTCAATGCCGAAGATACTATACTACTACTAGGTAGTTATTTGCATGGACTCAAAATGGTTAATGGAGTAAATGTCCGCGATCTTACATGTATATAAAGTTTTGAAAATTTAAGCTAATTATAAACTTACTTATTTTATTATTTGTTATCACAAATAAATATTAATTGTTCTAAGATTCCTATAAAAATGATGCATATGTAAAATTAATACAAAAATAGTCATTCGGTTTTTTCTTTGTTCTATAACATTTCCATAAGAAGATAAAATGTGTGGTGAATGATTGAAAAGATTGGTGCAAGAGTGTAATATAAACGTCAGTTATAAAAAAAGATTAATGATGGCGCAGCCTTTGGTAAGATTATGGCATTGATGCATTGTCCGTCACTTCGGAATTCGGATGGTATTTTCAGGTGTACCGTAAAACGGGGTGGTAAGGGACGGTTTTGAGCGTTTTTCTTTAATAACATCTTACCATAGAAAACTTCAGAGAAAAGCCACAGGAGTTATGCTTTCTTCTAAGTATACTGCACAGCAGTTCTCCAATAGTCACAATTTGTTTTACCAACTTGATCTTAAGAAGCTCCAGGTTGCCCCCACCCAGGCTGGACCTTCAGTAACCTGTGCATACTCATGTGAGGCTCAGTTCAGGCCTCAGGGCATGGATATTGTAACTAACTGGTCTGGGAATTTTATTTTATTCAATTTCTTTCTTTGTATTGATTTTTTTTTTTTGTCTGACGAGCAAGTTGAGTTGGTTGTTGGGCCGCCTTGTTCTCTTCAAAGTTCAACGGGTTTGCCGTCCATGCTATGTTAACTCCACTGTGCAGAGAGTGAACGAAGATTTAAAGACCTACGGCGACGCATTATCGGCAACATTTTTGCCTTCAGAAGATCTTGCCGACACATTTAGATTGAAATTCTTGCATTTAATATATTTCTCAGTCTTCAGCCAACTATTTAGAAAAAAAGTAAGGTTTCCGGTACGTTGGATCATGATGGATTACGATGCAGCAAAGCTTGTCCGGAAATCAGTTGCGATGAGTTCCCGCAAAAAATGTAAACAACACTTTTTCGATTGCGTAGTTTCGGTCGCATTAGAGCGGTCAGACTGCTTTATTACTTGTTCAGTTGACACTTGCTGTACAATGTTAACTTACTGCATTTTATATTTAATTGTTCTTTTGTTCCATAATGTATTTTATTGTATTATTATTATTATTATTATAAATATATGTGTTTTTTAAACATTATTATTATTATTATTTTTGGTTTTTGTTTTATTTTTTTTATTTTAATTTTATTTTATTATTATTTTATTTAATTTTGTTTATTTATTTACTCATTTTTTCATTACTCTATTTAACTTTTCATAACATTAATCTACATTCATAACTTCAGCCATAGTGGCAAACCAGAGCTTTTTTAGAATCAGTTCATTTTTAATTTCCTCATTTACCCAAGATTTATATCAATTCCTTATGTATGATACTACTGGTATCCAGGATACTTTACTGGTCTACTTATAGGACTCACAAATGAACTTGAGGGAGAGTCTAAAAAACTCTCTGCTTTGCCACTATGACTTCAGCATTCCCTGTAATTTTTTTTTTTCCGTTAAATAAACTTAACAGTAATTTCATTAATTTTACCTATTTTATCCTTATTATTTGTCAGTTAAATTTTTTTTTCTTTTTTTTTCTTTTTTTTCGTGTGTGTGTGT